AGCGTGAAAGCCCTCAAAGGTTCGGATCATATTTGCACTCAGTGAGGTGTTCCCTTTGCAGACACAGCCAGGTCAGGGTCTCCTGCTGCCTGGTCTGAGCTCGGAGTCCTGCACCACACCAGGCTGCCAGCCCGGTGGCCTCACAAGTGGAGGCCAAACACCGAACCAAAGGCTGAGCCCTTGAGTTTCCACCTGTGACAGCGCCATCTCTAATGCCTGAGACAGCGCCATCTCTGAAGCCAGAGCTGTGCGAGGCAGCGTCGCGATGAGCTGTCGGGGTCTTTAAAATGATTTCCGCAGCTCCTGCGGTTCAGCCCGTGAGGTCTGCCCGGCCGCCCGTGGGCTGGTGCTCAGCGTGGGTCTCGTTTTTTATTTATTTACTTTAAAATTATGTTTATGGAGGTCACGTGGGTCGACAACACCAGATGTGATGTAGGAGTGCGGGCTCACACCTCAGGGGGTGACACATGAACACATCCACCGCCCAGCGCCCGCCTCCAAGCGCCCAGCACCCACCACTCCCATCACAGTCCAGGGCCCACCCCCCTTTGTTTTGCTCCCCCACCCCGTAGCCTCAGTTCTGCAGCCAGATTTCAAGTGTTTGTTCTTTTTGTTTATATCTGTTCCTCAGCTTTGTTCTTTATATTCCACACATGACACCATCCGGGGTTTTTCTTTCTCCTTCTGACGCACCTCATAGCGTCACCCCCTCCGGGCCCACCCCTGTGGTCACCCTGCAGTCACCCGTGGCAGGACGGCACCTTGGATTTTAAAGTGCAGGCCCAGGAGCTGCTAGCCTGGGTGTGGAGGCTGCGCTGCAGGAGGAGAAAGACGGTCCCCCCGGAGGAAGGGGACCCCCCTCCTAGGCACCTCATCCCATCACGAGCCCAAGTCCAACCCCTGACTTAAGGGAAATAAGCCCGAACCGTCACTTCTGGAGATAAGAGATTTCCTCCATGGAGGGAGGGAGCCCCAGGGGAGTCTGGTCAGTCCCCCTTGGTGCCCCCACACTCGGCCGCACCTGGCTGAGAAGGTGCCCTGGCTCTGGCGCACAGGTGGACTCCCCCATGTGGAAACTCCGGACTGCCCTGTGGTGCAAGGGACAGAAACCCAAAGGGGGCGCTGGGGGCGGGGGAGGTTCCCTCTGGAAAAGAACCTGGGGTCCAAGAGGCCTCCCAGCATCGGGAGCTCCATGCCCACGAGCTTCACCCGATCTATTCTCCCAAGAGGGAGAAAAATGGGTAAATACACGGAAGGTTCTAGAAGACAAGCCCGGAGACAGCGTGAGGAAGCTCTTTCAGGGGTCAGAGGCTCCACCCCCGGACTGGGCTCACGGCGAGGAGGCCGGGCTGGGGCTGCGTGGGGCGGCTGTCCTTGAAGAATGTGGGCAGCTGCTCTGGCCCGCTGAGGCCCCTCCCGCCCGGGGCCCACGAGTCTGAGTCAGGACAGGCCACGCGCCCCTTGGCTCGACCACAGGGCCAGCACCTTGCCGGGAGCAGAGAGGCCTCGGGAGCTGGGAGGAGACAATGAGGAGCGTAAGGGGTGTGGGGCGAGGACAAAGGCAAAGTGGAAACGTCTTGTTGAGCGACGGTTCACTACTGCGAGACTGTGGGGGTGACTGGGTGTCCCCTACTCACCAGCCGCTGACTTGGGTAAAGTCTCCCCAAGCCAGGAGCTGGCCCAGGTGACAGGAACATGCTCAGGCTGAGCTGGACCACAGTCCGGCGCAGTGGCCGTCCCCTCCTGGTCTCACCGGCCTGCGAGGAGAACACGCACCCCGAATCACAGTGGGATGTCCTGCCTCCACCCCTCCTGTCCCAGCTGTTGCCACTGACCCAGAGCCCATCCCCCTCATGGCTGCCCCTGCACCCCCTGCACACACCCCACCACACGGGGCCACAGAGCCACCTCCCCTTCGCTCACCGGTCACCCCAGGGGCCTGACCTGTCCCTGGGTAGGTCTTGTGTATCTACCTGCCCCCTGAACTGCTTCCTTGTGTGGGGGGAGCTGAGGAGTCATCCTGGGGGCCGCTGCCTTGCTAGTGCTGCTGGGGACAAAGGAACCCATGGAGGATGGGGCCCGGCTCCGACGTGACGAGGAGTCATCGGGTTCCGTGGTTAGGTGACCTCCCCAGGTTGGCTCACCCGCCTGCCGATGTGAGCCCCCACATACGGAGCAAATTGGCCCAGGAAACCGGGTTCCAATCGAAAGTGCAGCCCCCTCCCCGTGCTGGGCTCTCCCTCGGGTGTTCCCTGCCTGTGGGCTCTGCTCTGGAGCCCCGGGGCGCCCAGCCCACCCACGGGGTGGGTTTCCTGGGTCATGCGGGCTGGGGCCTGTGCCAGCACGCCCATGGAGAGGCGCCCTGAGCCCAAGGCTGAAAGTGATCTCAGGGCTTACCTTTCCTTATCTGATCATTTACTGCGAGCGATTCAAAGGGAATTTCAACACCACTGCTTGGCAGGCCACACTCCCCTCCCCTCTGACCTGGTGCCCTTCCGCTGTGCAGCTCTGGTGTCCGGACACGCGCTGCATCCACGGAGCAAACCCGACGTGTGGGTGTTTGCAAGCGTCCTGGAAGGAGGCGGTTGGGAGTGGAACGGAAGTCAACTTTCAACTTGCCCACTCCCGCAGCAGGGGCGGTGGGGGTGACCTCACCCCAGATCCCGACTCAGCCTGGCTGGAAGTCCCCAAACACACCGACCCTCAGCGTCCTCAGCTGTAGAGTGGGGGTCTTCAAACCTCCCCTCTAGGCGGGGAGCCCGGCTGCAGGAGCCACACTGGGCAGCAACCTTCCCCGTCTCCCCCGACACACAGTTATCGGCTCCACCTGTCCTCCAGCTCGGCCTCCAGCGCCTGGGTCAGAGAGGAGGCTGTGGGCTCTAGCCTCTAAAGCCAAAGCCGTACGTGGTCCTATCTGACCTGCAGGAGGAACCACAGGCGGCCTCGGCCTCCTGAGACAGCCACAGCCACGCTACAGTCTCCAGGTGTGATGGGGTTTATGGGACAGGCTTTCTGGTCATCATGGAGGGTCAGCAGGTGCAGAGGCACTGGCCAGGCACTGGCGTTACAACAGATGGACGTTTTCCATCAGCTAGACCCGCAGGCCGCGGAGCTAGCCAAAGCCGAGTGGCTGAGGCAGGATGTGGTGGAGGAGCCGCGCCTTGGCTGAAGCCTGCCCGGGTGGCAGTCTGTCTTGCTGACGGCTCCCCGTGGACGTCGGGGGTCGCCCCACGGAGCACAACACACTCGTGCAGGGGACTCAGTACACCGTGGAATCTCAGCACCTTTAAAAGTGCTGTTTCGGCGCCAGGAGCTCTGGCATTCTTCAGATTATTTCAAGAAACCCTGATGATTCAGGGCTAACAAAGAGCTGCCCAAAGCTTTCAAAGAAGCCAGGAATGAGGTGTGCGTAGGGTCGTGGCAGAGCTGCAGCTTCTGCTGGAACGGCAGAGGCATCTTAGTGTTGCTCCTGGAGCCAGCACCCCGACTGTAGTGCCGGGAGGGTGACGTGAGGCCGGAGGGAAACTCACCCGGGCCTCCGGGCCAGGCGTGCCCTGCACACCCAGCGCTGCACTGCAGGGCTCCTCGCCACGTCTCACCTCGCGCTCAGGCTTGGAGCTGAATTCAGAGGAAGAGGAAGGGAGAGGACGTCCCTTCGTGTCTCCAGAGGCAGAAGTGAAAGGTCTGGCGTGTCCCGGGATGCCAAGCTGATTGGCATTCTTTAGCTGTCCTTGATTTTCTTAATCACTTCTCGTTTTTATTTGAAAATCCCTGTGCATCAGGAATGCTTTAATGTGTCTGGACAAACGGCATCATTGGTCCATGAATCCTTCCAGTTTTCAAGGTGGCTTCTGAAGGGGCCCAGCTTTTCCTGGCCTTGTCAGCCGTTGGCAGCTCAGAAGCCGAGACCCACGTTCCTCCCTGCTCCTCCCGGCTCTGTCTTGGCCTCAGTCATGGTGCAGCCTGGGAATGACTCCAGCAGCTTTTGAGATTTCCTGGGGAGCAGAGGGTATCGTAGCCGGATGGGCTTTGCCACAGCAACTCTTGGATCCTAGAGCCCAGTGCCACCCACCCAGCCAGGGCAAGCTGGGGCCCGCGATGACCAGGCCCTGTTGCTGCAGCCGGGCACCTGTGCAAGCAGTGCTTCGATGGGGTTCCAACTGGTACCCAGTTTGGAGCTCTAGGTGGCGGAGACTGTGCCGCCGGCCTTATACCCTCTGGCTATTGAACAGAGCCAGCAAGAGGACACCACCGCGTGCATGCTCTGCCGCACGGACCCACAGGTGGTCCTCAGGAAAGCCGCTGCCGACCTCCCAGGGTGATGGCGAGCACCCAACACCACCCGACAGCAGCCTCCAGCCACAGGCAGAAGTGCCAGGACAGAAAGACAGCCCGAGGGCTCCTGCTGCCTCTGCTCTCCACCCCATGAGCCTCGAGGCTTTATTCTTCCTCGCAAATGGGTCAAGGGGAAGGACACTTCAGGGTTGAAAGGCAAGAATGCCAGATGAGTGTTCTTCAGAAAACAGAATTATAAAATCCAGGGGCAATCAAAACAAGCAGCCCCAGCGTGGACGCAGCACACTTGCTGTGGCTGCTGGAAGGGCCGGGGGTCTGCCAAGCGGAGCAGGCAGCCGAGACCAGCTCACATCCCACGGGCACGCGGGGCCCGCGCACCTCCCCCTCGCGCCCCAAAGAGGCCGGCCCGGGCGAGATAGAAATATATTAATTTCCTGGACACTCGGTTTATAGGGAAAGATTAACAGACCTGTGATAGGCGCAGGCACTCAGATTTCTCGCCGAGTGACACAGAGGGAGGATTGTTTGTGGTGCTGGTATGAGGTAGTGACAACCTCGCGGCCCGGCTGTTACAATAAACACGCATCTGCCCGGGCCCTGCTGGGGCATCCGGGCGCGGCGGGCGGCGGAGGAGCGTGCCTGAGCTCTGCTCACCCTTTGACTTTTGGACAAGTGCTGTGCTGAGCTGGCCGCGGCCACTCACAGCAGCATCTGCAGCCGCTCGGGAAGGGCCTGGGCGCTGCCTCCAGCAAGCATGCCGACGGTGGACGACCTTCTAGAGCACGTAGGCGAATTCCACTTCTTCCAGAAACAAACTTTTGTCCTCTTAGCTCTGCTCTCGGCCGCCTTCGCCCCCATCTACGTGGGCATCGTCTTCCTGGGCTTCACCCCCGACCACCGCTGCCGGAGCCCGGGGGTGGCCGAGCTGAGCCGGCGCTGCGGCTGGAGCCTGGCCGAGGAGCTGAACTTCACGGTGCCGGGCGGGGGGCCGGAGGGCCAGGCCTTCCCCCGCCAGTGCCTCCGCTACGAGGTGGACTGGAACCAGAGCGCGCTGGGCTGCGTGGACCCGCTGGCCGGCCTGGCCGCCAACCGCAGCCACCTGCCGCTGGGCCCCTGCGGGGCCGGCTGGGTGTACGACACGCGGGGCTCGTCCATCGTGACCGAGGTAAGTGGCTAAGCGAAGCGGGCGGCAGCTTTTTTTTTAAGGAGGAAACCAGTCAAGGCCAGGCGTGCTCTTTGGACTCAAAGTATCTGATAAAATCCTAGTTTCCAACGAAAACATGCATCCTCTAATTTCTCTGGAATGTGAGTGGATGCGCTGGGACGTTTTGGGTCCTGAACGTTGCTCCCGGGCCACACGAGGGTGGCAGGGAAGTGACGAGAGAGCGTGCACAGGCTCCTGGAGATAAAGCCGGGGAAGGGGCTCTTCAAGCCTCCTCTTTCTGCGGGAGCCCTGACCCCTACCCCCAGCTTTCACCCCACACATGGATACTTCGCCGCTCTGGAATTTTCCCTGTGACACCACGTACTTACCCCTGTGGCTGTTTTTCTCTCCTTCACTTGCTCCAAGTGACCAGATAGAGCCATTTGGGTTGGGGCTCAGGAGAAATCGTTATTTCATTGAAAACGAATCTGCATTAACCTCCAGGTGTGACACCTCATTCCAATCACTATAGAGAAAACACCCCGGAGACTTGCTTCATCAGGGGCAAAGCAAATGGGGGATGAACCCCCTGTGGGGAGGAAAAGCTGCAACCTCACTGACGTCAGAGGACTGCTCCGTCAGTGGAGATTCGGGGAAGGAGCCTTTCTCCGGGACCCAAAGCTCACAGGTGACAGGGGATGTGGAGGACCACGCAGGTGCCACCACCAGCTTTCAGAAGGCTTCCCAGCATGACTAACTTCATCCTCACACACAAGATGAGGAAACTGAGGCACCGGGAGAGCAAGGCTGTGCCTTAGGGCCAAATGAGACACTAAATAGTCAGTCCTGAAAGCTGGACTTTGAGGCCAGCGCCTGGCCGGCCACGCTACCCCTCACCCCCACGAGATGCCGTCTTCCTGGGCAGCACCTGTGTCCTGTTCGCATACCTATTTGCCTCCAAATTTTAACATGAGGAAGGGAAAAAAGGTCGTGTGCTCAGTTTCAGCTGACTGGGCCACCTCCGTCCAAGGCAGGAATGGCCCCTGGGCTCCCTGGCGGCCGTGGGGATGACGGGGCTCTAACTGCGCGTTTCTCTTCTCCCTGGGCCTGTGCGCATCTCACCCTGGCCAGTTTAACCTGGTGTGTGCCAACTCCTGGATGCTGGACCTGTTCCAGTCGGCTGTGAACGTCGGGTTTTTTATCGGGTCCGTGGCCATCGGCTACATAGCAGACAGGTAGGTGGCACTGAACGTGCCCCATGGGGCGCACACCTGGACCCCCGCCCTGGAGGGACGCCGTCCTTTCCTGAGCCCCACGGGCCACAGCCGCTGCCCGCGAGGCGGTTTGTCTAGGTGACCTTTGGCTGCGTCTGTGCTTCCATGATCTTGGCCAGTGTCTCTATTTTCTAGCTCTCAGGGGTCCCCTAGGGGTGTTTCACCGCGAGGCAGTGGTTTTCCTTGGGGGCCATCCAGAAGCGTAGCTAGGAGGACAAGTAATAGGCGACTTGACTGCTTTTGTATTTCCCTATTCCCCGTGTGGGCCCACGGCCTCCCACCTGGCTGCGAGCCTCCGGGCCTCCGGGCCTCCGGGCTCCAACACAGCCTCTGCTTCCTTCTCCGATACCCAGAGTCAGTGTAGACGCCCCTGCCTCCGTCCTCACCCCAGCCCAACACCACAGGATTCCTGAATGGGGTCCCTGGGGCCAGAGGTATTACATGTATGGACCCCGGGATAAAACTGGGGCAAAGGGAAGTAGTCCTGTCTGCACCGAGAGCAAAGACCCTCCGTGCCAAAGTGGCTGGAAGGTCTCAGGGTGGACCCCCACCCCTGAACATCAGCAGATGCTCCTCACAGATGGACGCGGGTGTCCAGGGAGCAGGTTTCGGGGACCCCAGATCCCCTACTCTCCTGAGGCTTGTGTCTGGGCATACTATGGGTTTGCAGCTCTGCCGGGCCGGGAGCTCCCCATGCAGCTGTCTTCCCACATGGGTGGCCAAATAGACAGTTTCCAGGGTCCTCCAAAGGGAAAGGAACGGAAAACTTGGCTTCATGCTTGGGGTGCATATGTGGCCATCGGAGCTGATGCCGAGTGACCCGCCCCCGGTGGACTCTGAGGGCTCCATGTGCCCGGCTCTGCTCGACGTTGGGATGTGTCACCCTCGTCCATATCAGTGACCCGGGGAGGGGGTGACACAACTGTCGTATATATACGTCTTGTATGTTGGGTTGTCAGAAAAGTCATGAGACACTTTTGCTTGATAACCATAGAAAAAACACATCACAACTTTACCAACAACCCTTGTAGATATAGTTACATAGAAATGTATACGATAACGTATTTATGTATAAACTAGCAACTCCTATGTATTTTAGCAGGTATACTTCATGGCTCACCTCCCCAGCTCTGGGGTGTGGCTCACCCCCAGCTGGGAGCATGCTCTGCCTTTCCTCTGATGATGTTATATTGCCCGGCCGCATTAAAACTGGCTGGAGTGTTAAAGATTAATAACACGGTTAACCTTTCACACTCCCAAGACATCTGCATTTTCACAGCCCAGGGTCCACTGTGACATGGGGGGCCAGGGGAGGGGCCAATGAAGCCTGGGCCACCCAGCCCCCACTTCTAGAACTCTCAGCCTCCCGTCAAAGGTTCTTCTTGGGACTTCATGTGGGAGGCTTGGGAGGTGAAGAGGAAGGTCACTGGCTTTGATTTTCATGTCCCAGAGCTGAGGACAGTTGTCGGGAGGGACTCAGGGAGAGCTGGTGCCCAGTGCACCCCGGGGGTGCTGTTCTCTGTGCCTCTGGTCCTGTCCCCCTCCATTCCCTCCTTCACTAGAAGGTCAGGTATGAATATTCAACTCTCCAGGATGGACGTGAGCAAATAGGCAACTGAGCCTCACAGCTGGTTAAATAAATGATTTCATTACACTCATCCCACTCAGAGTAGGAGACGGTTGTAATTCCCCACGACTGTGCATTCCTGACTTACAATCCCAGGCAATTATCCACGTTCTGGGATGACCTCATTGCTTTGTTCCTAGCATTGAAATCTACCATGTAAAGTTGATCATTCATGATTCTTCCCCAAAAAGCCTCAGACGCATCTCCCTTTCTTGCTCTTAAACTGGAGTTTTGCTGGTTGCTGCCTCTGGCTCTGTTGGTGCATGGAAGAGTGTGCAACAGGCAGGCTTTCACAGGCTTTAGAACCATAGGGTTCCCCCCCAAAAAAGGGGGAGCCACGTATCTTTGGCATACTTAATGCCTATTTCTGGACAATTTTCAGATTTTAGCCAAGATAAAAATCTCAAGGAAATCCTATTTATGTTACAGATTAAGTCACAAATAAAATGGATTGTTTGCTATGAAGAATTTTTAAAATAGGACTTATCAGCCGAGTTAGAAGAAAAGCAAGTGGATATTGGGAAAAGATTACAAATAAGAACAGAGTCTTCCATTGAGCCAAATTTGCAAGAGAAAGGAAGGAAGGGAGGGAGGGGGCATATGCCAGAGAATTTGAAAGTCAACCTTTTATAAGATGCCTAATTTATTTCACCATCCATAGCCCGCTACAGAGTAATTCTGATTATCACCAGACACAGAGTGTTGTAGCATCATCAGTCCTTTTTTGCTCTAATGATCACTAATACTTAGTTGCAAGCTTTAAGTGTTTAGCATTGGCTCTCCACAAGGAAATGCTCAGTCTATGGCATTTGCTGATTTCTATGGTGAAAACGCACCTACTGTGGGCCATTCAACCACCTACTGTGGGCCATTCAACCCACCTCAGTGAGTTGGCTGCAAAGAGCCATCATTACATGGTGTCTCCAACAGAGAGATGCAAATAACCCCCAGAGCATAGATGCTGGCCAAACACAGAAAATGAGTGTGCAACAGCCTTGCACACTTATTACCCTATGTATAATAAAGTTGACTTAATGTAAATATAGGATTTATTGTAAATAAATTTAAATAAATTTGTTGTAAATTTATTATAAATAGATTTATTATAAATATAGGATTTAATTTTTAATAACCATGTTGTGGATTAACTTCAAATGGTCAGTTAGTATTGAAGTGGTTGCTAGAACACAGTGACCTAATAAGAAGAGCTGGATTCAAAACCATTCTGTGGTTACAGAATGTGTGATTTTGGTGATCAGACTATTGGGCTGGAAACCCTAATAAGCAGCACCCAAGGGTCAGCCTCCGCTCCTTAGATTTCATGTTCGAACTAGGTCAAAGGAGAATGAAAGACTCAGGGGTCACAGTCCAATTTACCCACCTGCAAGAATCTTCCAAAACAAGTCCTCACTGCTTACTGTGTGCCTGCTGTGTGCCAACCACTGTTCTGGGCGCCCTTGTGCTATATTTCACATAGGGTCGTAACAGCCTTTAAAGGTTTTATTCTGCCCAATTTGCAGATGAGGAAACTGGTGCTCAGAGAAATGAAGGCAGGATATTGCTGTACCTATACCATCTCTACCACCCAGGACTGTTATAGGACAGGGAGAGGGGCAGCCCAAACCCCGCAAACCTGCCTATTTGCAGGACCACCCTGTTACAGGACCAGGTGGTATATTATGCCTGTGTCACCTGACAACACCCAGGTGATGCTCACAGCACCTTCTGAGCAGCAAGTTGCTAAAGGCCTGGCAAACCAGCAGCATTCGAGTCCCCACACTCCCACCCCAGGACACACACCTCCCTTTTATCTCTTGGGGTTTTTATATTTAACCACTAAAGAGACAGCAGCAGAAATCTCAGCCATTACCCAGATCTCCAAAAGTTCCTCCAGCCCTACCTGTGTCTCCACAGAGCACAGGTGAAGCAACCCCTCGGAACCACATGGAGGGGGCTCTCTGGGGGCTCTCTGTGCCTGTGTGAGGTTCTGGAATTCAGACTTCGCCTTCACTTTCCATCCCTGCATGAATTCCCTACAACCGGATGAATCTGGGCTCACTCTGCCTCCCTCTGCTCGGTGCCTTGCAGGTTTGGCCGCAAGCTCTGCCTCTTGATCACCATCCTCATCAACTCTGTATCCGGGGTGCTCATGGCCATCTCCCCGACCTACACGTGGATGTTACTGTCTCGCCTGGTCCAAGGACTGGTCAGCAAGGCAGGCTGGATAATCGGCTACATCCTGAGTAAGAAGCTTGAGACTGCAGCTACGAGCTCTGCCAGGGCCGGGTCGGGGGTGGGGAGCCGGTGAGGGGTGAGCCAGGCAAGAAAAAGGACTCAGCCTCAGGGCTTCGTGGAGAGAATTGTTTTCTGTATCAAAAGAATTTCGAAAATCTCTTCTATGGACTCAGCCTGCACCTCTGGCCCCTCTGCAGCCCTTGCTACTCGGGAAGCTGACAGTCTAGTTACTGAGCACATTTACCCGAGTTTGTTTCTCTGTTGAAAAGTCCTTTGGGATCATTTGCAGTCATTTATAGAAATCTTTTTAAGGTGCATTTCTCTTTGGTTTATAAATAGTTGAAGTCTTTAACGTTTTACCAAATATTCAATGCAAAAGCTCTGTGACTCCTGAAATATCTGGAAATTCACTCTTTGCGACTAATGCCTAAGCCCATGTGCTCCGGACTCCACATATTGTCATGATGAAGCCGTCATGGGATGGAGTAATCTGACTATTAAACCATGTGCGTGGTGATAAACTGACTCTTAGAAAGTAAAATGTCCTAATTGTAGCGTTTTCTGATTTCTAAGTATTAATACTCCCACCATGAGCGACTGTAAGATGCCAATTGTTTTAACAGCCCGCTTGCAAAATTTCTGAAAATTTAAAAATCATGTCTTGCAAGCCTGCCCCAGCTGGTAAGTTGACTTCCCAAGCCCTCACGCACAGCCATGGCACTGCCAAGAGAATGCTCAGCTTGTATAAGAGAACAAGTCATTTTAAGGTTTGCATTGACATGAGAGTCACCGACAGTCTGAAGTCAGTGCTTGATTCATGTATTAGTTCTTAAATTGTTACTACGTCTGGTCAACATTTCATGTGTATCTGAAAGAAAATTGTGTTTTCTATAAAGATGTTGGCAAGCCTTTCCCTCTATCGAATGTGGGATTATAAGATTTTATGTTGAAACAACAGCAATCATTACAACATTTTAAAATTTTCAAAGAACTGGGCCTCGCCTGGTGGCGCGGGTGGTTGAGCGCCGTGCTGTGAAGCTGTCAGCAGCTTCTGTAGCATGGGTTCGATCCCAACTGGCCCGTGAGGGTCCCACAAGGCGCAGTAGACCTCTCCTGTCTCGCCCACTGCTCCCCTCAGTGGTGTATTTCATCAGTCTGCCTGTTCTGTTCCATGCTCTGTCTCTGGTGAATCGTCTCACCCTCCTGTGCATCTGGCCTGTACCCCAGTTCTTGTAAATAAATAAATAAATAAATCTTTTTTAAAAATTAAAATTTTCAAAGAACTATAGAGAAAATTCCATCGTGTGAGCTGCTCTGGCTGAGCTGGCATTTAGTGCCCCCAGACCTGGGTTCTACCTGGTTGTGCTGATCTGTGTTGACCACTGGGTCTCTGTGCAGTTACAGAGTTCGTCGGGCTGAGCTACCGGAGGACGGTGGGGATTTTCTACCAAGTTGCCTTCACTGTGGGCCTCCTGGTGCTGACTGGGGTGGCCTACGCCATCCCCCACTGGAGGTGGCTGCAGTTCACTGTCACTCTGCCCAACTTCTGCTTCTTGCTCTATTACTGGTAAGTCCACTTGGAACAAAAAGGAGACAAATAGCAATTTTTTATTTCACTTGTAAACCTACCTTCCCTACTGCACACCATCCTGCTGGATTCTAAGTTCTCTTTCACTCTGCAGGCCAGCTGCACAGGTAGCTCACATCTGTGTTTTGGGCGTAAATAACTGCCCCTCTTAACGTCAAACGTCCTTTCACTTTGCCTTACGAGTTTTATGCCAGGATCTTAGATTTTCCCCTTTACTTATGTGGTGTTTAAATCAACTTCTAGAGGCTGTGGGACCCTTAGAAGAGACTAACAATATTGCTGTTCCTATTCTTTCCCAATTCAGGGGATTTTAGGACAGACAGGTGGAGGAAGGCCCTGATTTCCACTGCCATATCTATACCCAAAGCAGACAGCCCCAGTCAATCCCAGATAAGGCCCATGTGGCACCCGAGACAGACCATACGAATCTATCAGAGTTACCACAACAAATGGAATACGCTCACCATCCCTGCCCAAGGGAAGCAATGAAAATAACAGAAACTATCACAACCCTTCAGTACACGTTTACTTCCAACAAAGCGATGGGGATGATGGGTTATCAATCAGATCTCTCTCCCAAGCACCAAACCCACTTATTTTGTTCCACTTGGGTGTATCACCTGTTCTTCTCCCAGTTGTCTTAAGAATCAAACATTTAAACCTTCTCAGGAAGCTCATTCCTCTGCCAACTCCACTAACATCAAGTGATCCTTAGTCCCTGCCCCCATCTCCCTATATCCATTCTACCTCCTTTAAACCTCAGAATTTGGGCCTCCCCAGTGGCGCACAGTGCTGTGAAGCTGTCCGCAGCCTCTGCAATGCGGGTTCAATTCCCAGCCAGCCATGGAGATACCCACACTGCGCAGCAGACCTCTCCTGACTCACCCACTGCTCCCCTCAGCAGTGTTTTCAATCTGACTGCCTGTTTTGTTCCCCGCTCTGTCTCTGGTGAATTCTCTCACCCTACTGTGCCTCTGGCCTGTACCCCAGTTCTTTCATAAATAAATTTTTTAAAAAATTTTTAAAAACTCAGAATTCACTCCTTTTTCTTCCTGTCTCCATGAAGAATCTATTCTTTCTTGCCTGGATAACTGTTACAGACTCATAACTGGTCTCTTGGACATTTGCTTCAAGGACCTCTGATCCATGCTTCGGCCCTCCAGCTCAGGCAACAGCTGGCCAGGCTGACTGCTTCCTGTGCACCAAGTGTGATCTAGAAAAATTTCCCTGCTGTGGCATAGTGGACAGGGTCCGAGTCAAAAGCTCTGGCTGGACCACCCCTGAGCACACCACATGTCTGTTCCACACCAAGTCTTAACCCAGGAACTGTCCTTGGTTCCCCTCTCCATGGAGCTCCCTCCCACATAACATCCACCCGGAGTTCCTTTAGTGCCTCCCCACCCCGACTCACACCCCAGTGGGGGCCTCCCCGACTCTAGGCCAAAACATTCCTGCTTCTTCCTTCCCACCTGTCCCTCCTGCTCCCATCCAGCCTGAACCAGGTGCCTGAAGAGTCCCCTCCAGACACAGACCCCAGTGGCCATAGTCCTACAAGGATAGGCCCAGGCACCTCACTCTGCTGTTTCCAGCTCAGACAGGAGTCTGGCTTTTAAGCTCTCTCACCCTCTGAGTTCCAGCTCTCTCCCCTTCCTCCTGGATCAGCTCTCAGCATTATCTGTCTGACCCTTGCTCCCCCCATGCCCCAATCTGCATACTTCCACCCCTACCCCTTCTGCCAGTTCTCACCCCCTTGCAAAGCCAGGTGCCCACCACGTTCGGAGGGTTCTCTCCTCTGAACTCCACTGCTAGTCAGGCACCCCTGCTCTGCCATTTGTTTCCCTTTGCTCCACCGTGGACCCTCTTAAAGTTGCCCGGGGTTTCCTGGACATAGCAGACCAGAAGTCAGCATCCGGGGGAGGAGAGACCCATAGCCCGGGCCTAGGGTTGTTGTCTCTGTGGGTCCAGCTGAGCCTGGCTGCTGCGTAAGACGCACGCGCGCGTAAGTCCTCCTGGGACCAGGGGCATGAGTGTGGCAGGTGGCCCGAGGGACAGGCCCTTCACTCTTGGCCCTCACCTTTGCCCTAGGTGCATCCCGGAGTCTCCGAGGTGGTTGATCTCCCAGAACAAAAACGCAAAAGCCCTGAGCATCATGAAGCACATTGCGAAGAAAAATGGAAAATCGCTGCCGGCCTCTCTCCAGGTGAGGCGACCTGGGCCCTCCAGCCGGGGCACGAGACAGGAGCACGCGGGGGAACCAGGCTGTGCCCCCGAAGCCACAGAGGGGCCCGCTCAGGCAGCAGGGCCGCTGTTCTAAGACTTGTGGTTCCCTGGTAGAATATTTTAAAGAAATGGAAAACATAGAACTAGAGGGACTCCGAAACCGTTTAAAGGTCAGGGAGGGGCTTCCGTCTTATGTGGCTGCACTGGCCATGCCCGGTCACCTGTCGCCCTGCCTTGGTAAGGGGTGTCCTGATGCCCGGTGTCAGGTCACTGTGTGTCTTGGTGTTTCTTGGTGACTCACGCGCCTGGTGACCTGTGCCCACCAGTGTCCACAAGGAAGCAGGTTTTCCTCGGAGGGGACGGCCCTAGATCCCAAAACCTCTCTAAGTCATCAATAACTTCTCCGAATTGTAAAGACATCGCAGAGAGATTGTCCCAAACGCCGTCAGCAGCGCCCTGCCTTGGAGTAGAGCAAGATGGTAGGGTCGCTGCCTCCGTGTTTGGGGGTTTGCCCTGAGGAGGCCTCCCTCATTTCACTGAGCCCTTTCCACCTGACGGGGGCTACAATGAGAAAACCAAGCTGGTTAGAAAATTCTGGTGAAATGAGCATCGTCGTTTCGGATGAAGACTTAGGATCCGCCACTGCAAGGTGTTGAGGTTGACGGGACGTCTCACATGTGGCTGTTTGGACTCGGATGCCCTTTTGCTCACTTCCGCTCTGGCTTCCGGGCAGTGGAATAGATTCCGGTCCTTGGGCATCGGTGTCAGGGCCCCTGGCTGGGCCCCCAAGCCCACATGAGGCAGGTGGGGCGCCGAGCTCAGGTAATGTACCAGGCTGTGGGCTTCTGCGGGTCTCCCCGCGCCCCTCCAGCCGCGCACGCACGGCCTCTTTTGCTTTAGGAAGGAGGCAGAGTGGCTGGTTTTCCAGAGGGTTCTCCTTGCAGAGCCCTGGAGATGGAATCTCAACTCTTCCACCCACTGTTTCTCTGTAGAGTAGGGTCTCAAGGTCAATGTCTGTGCCCAGCACCCACCTGGGGACCCTGTAAAAACGCAGACCCAGGCTCAGCCTGGGCTTGGCTCCCAGCTTTCTCCTGCTGAGTGCCCGTCGCAGCTGAACAGGCCCCACTGGCCCACAAGCCTCAGAGGAGACCCCTCTCTCTTCCTCACTGACCCACCCCTCCCCAGGTCTCCCCTTGAAGTGCTGCCCCATCCTGCCTCCCATGCCCAGGTGTGGGAAGTAGCCTGTGGGTGCAAAGGCACCTCAGCCCTCAGGCCTCCAGGTCAGGGGGAGCCCCCTGCCATGCTTGACAACCTGACTGCCCTGTAGCCCACTTCCACTTCTGTGAAATGGGGTGCAAACAGAACCAGCTTCTGGAGAGCCGGAGGGTTAAATGAGGCTGGGTGAAGGGCTTAGCAGGGTGTGGAGTGACACAAGCACCCACAGCAGTGGTTCCCGGGGGGTCCTGTAGGACCAGGTGCACGAAGTCCACCTAATTGTCTCCGTCCTCAGAGTCTCCGACCTGACGAGGAAGTTGGGGAGAAGATGAACCCTTCATTCCTTGACTTGGTCAGGACCCCTCAGATACGGAAGCATACTCTAATCCTGATGTACAACTGGTAAGGGGCGCTTGTCATTGGAAAATCCCCCCAAGTCAATCGCCATCATCCACAGGAAGGGAGGGGACAAGACACCTCAAAGCTGCCCAGCTCTGGTGCCAGCCGGGGGCGGCGGGGGTCACCTGCGCAGGTTTCCCCGCCGTTTCTCCAAGCAGGTGCTGAAATCAGCCCACCCCAGACACAGAGCAGCCGCGCCCGCTGGCCCGCCCTGGGGCCCCGGGGGACAGGACAACAAGGCCAGACCCCCCTCCACACGCACTTAATTGGTCTGAGGAAGCGCGCAGGAGTCAAGATTGTTTTTACTCCCCAGGTGACCGTAGTAGCCAAAATGGAAAGACGTCAAAAGAGATTAGAGGGTGAGGAGCGTAAATCTCTCCTAATGATACCAGCTTGGCCAAGGGCCCTTTTTTTCTTTCCTTCCTGGGGAGAAATTAACTTCTGATCACGAATAAGCGCAAGAATAACCCCCGGCCCCCAAGCTGTGACGGCTTCCCTGCTCTTGCTGCGTGCAGGGTGCGCCGGGGCTGGGAGCCCTCGCTCTGCCCCAGACCCGTCGGCCTGGTGGGCCACGACCCCACCCGCCAAGCCAGGATCCGTCCCGACAGCAAAGCTCATCGGGAATGAATTTAGCAGCCGGCACAGTATCACATGTAAAATGCAACCAGGAAATTTAACCTCATCATCTTTCCTTTCTGATTAATTGTGACTCTTGCTGATGGTCTAGCTCACCTTTCCCATTACAGGTAACGATGAAGGCGTTCAGTTTGCAAAGCTAGAAACACTGTCACAACTTTGTCTATGTCGCCGTAGCAGAAAATCAAGAAGTGAGGGTGCACCCGCTTGGGAACTAGATGCCCGTGTGGGTCTCCTGGTTCCCTAAACAGCTGAATTCTGTGGGCAAGCCTCCTGATCCCAACTGTTTTCGACGACCACAGAGAGAAAAGTAATTCAGAGTCACCGATAGCTGGTGTAGATTCACTGAATAAATCGGAAAATGATGAGACATCTCTCCTGACCTGTCCGCTTGGCCAGAGTGTGCTAGCCTAATTCCTTCACCTTTCCTGCTCCTGGGGTCACAGCCCACCAGGGTCCTCTAGCATGAAAGCCACAGGAATAGCAAGAACAAAATGACAGAGGGGTGACCTGCCACCCCTCATGCTCCCCAGAACCTTCCCCCTCCCGGGGACTTGCTTTTGGTGCTTGGCTTGACCTGAGCTCTCCTCTCTGCTCAGGTTCACGAGCTCTGTTCTCTACCAGGGCCTCATCATGCACATGGGCCTGGCAGGGAGCAACATCTACCTGGACTTCTTCTACTCCGCCCTGGTCGAGTTCCCCTCTGCCCTCATCATCATTGTCACCATAGACCGCGTCGGCCGCCGCTACCCCTGGGCGACATCAAACATGGTGGCCGGGGCAGCCTGTCTGGCCTCGGTTTTTATCCCAGATGGTAAGTTCAAGTCGGGCTGGGGTCTGGTCTTCCCAGGCCCTGAGAAAAGGGTGAGTCGTGGTCCTTTGATAGGAAAACCATGTTCATTTATTAATGTGGAAAGAGTGAGAAGAAGACCTGGACCCCCCCGCCCCCCGCCCTCCGAGCCAGCCCAGGTGCCACCGGGCTTGGAGAGCACGCTCAGTGCAGCCCTCTGCAGCCATCACACCTGAGAGATACGAGATGGCCACAGAGGCCATGCGGCCCCGAGCCACAGGCCCTGCAGCTGGCCCAGGGAGGGGCAGGCCCAGAGCTCAACGCTTCTCCCAGCATTTCCCAGACACCCAGACCCCTCCCTTGACCACCTGCATCATCCTGGGGGATCAGTGAGAAGCTTGTTTTCATTTATATCAATAAACAATCATCTGGTTCCTTTCTTTCTTTTGAAATGCTGCCCCAGTGAAGGGAGCCAAGCCCACGAGGCAGAACTCCACCAACCACGGGTTTGTCGCCACCACCAGTGACTGGTTGTTTACGACAGGCCCGTACTTTGCGGCTTCGTTTGGGTGACATCTGTAAAACTGGCGTCACCGTCATTAATGACTGAGGACTAAAGATAGGAGAGTCTTAAACTTGTGTCTAAAGTTGGAACACACAGACGCGAGGACTGCAGCTGCGCTGTCTTGAGTCCATACAAGAACCAGTTTGCTTTCTTGTCCCATTCTGGGGCGCGGACTTTCGCCTCACACCCCCACCCCTGCTGCTGGAAGAGCCGGGTGGCGTGCGGTGCGCCTAAGTGGCATGTTTGTCCCCTCAGATCTGCAGTGGCTGAAGGTCACAGTCGCGTGCCTGGGTAGAATGGGGATCACCATGGCCTATGAAATGGTTTGCCTGGTCAATGCTGAGCTGTACCCCACGTTCATCAGGTAGGTCCATCACTCCCCTTAGCACAAAGGGGCTTAGCTGCATCCTGGGCTGCATCCTGGGCAGTCAGCAGCGCCTTGCTTTTCAGACCACGGTGTGAAGAGAGGAGGAGAATATTTAAAGGCTGCAGTCGGCTCAGCCTCACACTTCCAAGCTGGGTAAGGCGCAGACACTGTGGTGAGGACAGAGGATGTGGCTGGTAGGACAGGGCTGGCCAAATGGCCACAGGAGGGAGTGACCAGAAACAGCACAGGGAAGTCGGGTGATGAAAGTGAAAAATGAAAGTCCCCCCACTCAAAGCCTTCAACTTAATACAAAACAAGCGCAACCAAATCCAAAAGGAGTGAGGTCCCAGGTGTCGCTGAGAATGGCTTGAATCCTCTTTGCACTCAAACATTTTAGTGACTTGGAGAACTATTGGCTTGGGGCCTGGGGGGTTAAGCCACGGTATCGTGATGCATTAGACTCTTTGGTCAGGAGGTGGGCACCCAGCGGACAATGGAGGAGGGTTATGGGGGCTTCGTGGTGGGTGTGGGGTGCTAACAAACACCTGGTGCCAACCTGTGCCCCAAGATCATGTACAGTGTTGTACACCAATGTTGCTTCAGTAAAAAATAATACAAAATTTAAAAATAATAAGTAATAAATAAATAAAATGGCACAACCAAAACAAAAGAGTCCAAGTTCATCAAAGGGTGAGCTCCCCGCCGGCCTGGAGACAGTCTCCAAAGGCAGAAAGTGACCCCAATAGAAATGAATCCAGCCAACTGAATCCAACCAGGGAGCTTGGTGAGGACCCAGCCTCAGGCGAACTCAGCCTGAACAGCTCCTGCCTGGCAGCCTGGGGACACTTCAGCGCCAGGGCTTGCTGACCCACATCTGGACTGACTCGTGGACGGGAGAGGATAAATGCGTGTTGAAACTGACTCAGTTCCCTGCTTCCCAGGAATCTCGGGGTCCTTGTCTGCTCCTCCATGTGCGACATCGGGGGCATCATCACGCCCTTCCTGGTCTACAGGCTCACTGACTTCTGGCAAGAGCTTCCCCTGGTGGTTTTTGGTAAGAAACGCTCACCAGTGCCCCTGAAGGATACCCTTTCCTGGCTACCTCTTTTCCACCTCCAAGTAGGCCCCCTGCCGCTGATCACTACAGACTGTGACTGGTAATTCGCACCCCTACTACTGTGGCAATACTCCTCTAGTGATGCTGCTGCTGGCAACTAATACTCAGTTACTGGTACTCCCGGACTCATGCCATTAGAGCTGCTAAGTTCAAGAAAGAGAGAGAAGGAAGGATGTTTCCCAAAAAAAGACCCCTCACTCCCCCCTCACTGATTTCCACCCTCCCCAGTTCTTATAACGAGCTCCCATTTCCTGCCTCTCTGGGCCCAGGTGTGGAAAAATATGAACCCTTCAAAGAAAGGGCATTAAAATTTTGCAAAAAGAGATTTCAAAACCCAGAGGGTTTCATGGCACCAAGTTACTCCTGGTTGCTTCTGGGGTTTGCACAACCGACCCCAGAACAGAGCCGCCCCGAAACCCTGAGAACTTCCTCGGACAGTTTCGGCTGCCGGGCACTGCCGTCCCTGCCATGCCAGCTGGCGAGGTCTGGAGAAGAGGCAGCAGCGGGGAGGGCCATGAGTGTGCCTGGCCCTTGGCAAAGCGGCTCCTGTCCCTGCTTTCAATTGAATGTCCACCGCCTTCTCCCACGGCCAGGGCCTGAGGGCAGGGCCGTCCCGCCAGTCCCCACACAGCCGGGCCCACAAGTCATCTGTCCAGGTGACCGAAGGCCGCAACCCACCCACCTCAGTCTTCGACAAAACAATGCTTTCCCCAAGGGCACACGATGCTCACTCTACTGGGGGCAGGGAGGAGGGCAAAGGCCCCCCGGGAGCAGCCTCTGCTTTTCTCCTAACGCTGCACGTTGTCCTTCATTATCCCTGCTCCTCCCTTCCATCTCTGAAGGGAGACTTTCCACTGCTGTGGATGTGCCAGCAAAGTCCCGAGCTGTTGACAAAACTCACCCCCGAAGTAGACCCACAAAATTGGTCCACATTCCAACTTAATCACAGCAAGATGGTCACCGTCAGTAGAATCCAAGCTCTTTCTGGGAGCTCTTTTTCTGGCATGGGACACAGGTGGCCCAGACCCCGCCCTCCCCCAAAGCCAGCCAAGGAGCCTGTCCCCAGAGGTCCCCTTTGCGACTTGGGGAAGTCTCCCCTCGCCCTCACCATTCTTCTCCCAGCAAGGAAGGTGGAGACCCTCAACTGGGCGCTCCTGGTGGGCAGGGGTGATGAGGAGTCGTGGGCTACGCGCTCCCTGTTTCTCTAAGCATGTAACAGAGCAATGCCAAGTCCAGGCCCTGAGTAAGCACAGTTGGCCCTCCTCAGGCCCCATCTACCCCTCCAAGGACGTTAATTGTGCCCCAATGTTGGAAATAAGCTCAAAACAATTCCTGATTATATTCCTCTTAGTCACCTCCTCTTCGCCTCTCACCAACCTTGACTCTGAATAGCCTGTGGGGAGCCAAGCCAGTAGCTTCACATTCGAGCCTCTTTCTCCCCATCAATAGTCGGTGCAGTGTGATCTGGAATCGCCAGACGCAGGGATGGAGGAGCCTGAAAGTGCATCATAGGAGATGTTAGGTGGATAATTAGGCTCAACTGATTTCCCTCAATTTGCTCACTTCCAAGATCCTGGCCAGCTGAATATGTTCTTGTCTGCATGTGACAACCAGCAGCGTCGTTATAGGCCTGGACGGGGTGGGAGCTGGACTGTGCATCCTCCCTGGAGCCTGGAGCTGCTCTGAGCATGTCACACACGTGTGAACCCATCTCAGCTTCATAAGCAGCCTGCAAGGGAGGCGTATCACCCCACCTCATGTAGGGGGACCAGCGCACTGGGGAGGTAGCAGGACTTCCCGGATCCCCCAGGGTGCTGTGAGTAGGAGGCGAGGATGCAGGGCTGGGGCCCAGGAGCCCCAGCTGCAGCCTGGAGCAACAAAAGCGAGTCAGAAACGGGGATCACTACTAGCAAGTGAAAGTGATTGTGTGTCACTGCAGAAGCATGGCGGGGCCTTTAGTTCTGCTTTAGTTCTGGTTCAGATGTTCGATAAACTCGTGTTTTGTGCTTAGAAATACCTCAGCCTCATCTCCCTGAACCAGGGGGTACAGTGACCTATTTCTCTGCCATTTGTAAGGCCACAAAATTATAGTCCAGCATGCATTTTTTTGAAACCCCCAAACCACTAAAGAACCCACACCCTATTTCTGCATTTTATTGTAGAAAAACATATAAAAATGTGATCTTAAAAATCCCAAAATATAAATGTGAATTTAAAGACACAAAAACACTATAATGTTTGTGTTGTCTGGCGACAACAGCAAAGAGGAATTTATTGAACATCTGAACTAGAACTGAAGGGCCTGGCCAGGCCTTTGCAGTAATACACGATTTATCGCTTTTACTTGCCAGTAATGATCCAAGTTTCTGACTCACTTTCACCAAGTGCCTTATATTGGCAGAGCTATGTTCTTCCTTTTCTTAGAGTTGACCTTTGTTCCCAAGTTATTTTCTAACTGCAGAATTTCTTGATATGGTGGCCACGTCCTAGAATAACCTTAACTCAAAACACTAAGTGTTTCATTCCCCTATAAGGAATTGCAATCCAACAGAGTTTGGAATCGGAAAATATCTAGGATGGGAAGTAGGGCCATCGGGATGGCAAAGGAATCTGTAAGTAAAGGAACACACCAAAAACTGTGCTTGAAAAGAAAGCAGGGGCGGCCCGGTGAGGGAGCTGTGCTTCAGGCCTAACGGGTCTGCATGTGTTTGCTTCCAGCCGTGGTTGGCTTGATTGCTGGAGGGCTGGTGCTGCTGCTGCCAGAGACCAGAGGGAAGGCTTTGCCCGAGACCATCGATGAAGTTGAGCACATGCAGAGGTAGGGAGCTGATGGCTGGCGGGAGCTGACGGCTGGCGGGAGCTGACAGCTGGAGGGAGATCCTCCCCATGCTGTTGCCAGTTGCAGACAGAGGTTAGGTTGAATCTATAGCTCACCCCATACGTTAAGATCCAGTCAAGCAAAATCCAAGAGAAAGCACAAGAAAATAATTAGTAGAACAATGAAGATACTATCAATAAATAACATTTTGCTCTCACGGTGGGGAAGTCTTTGTAAATATGACCAACATTCAGGATCTAGGAAAAAAGACCAATAATTGCCTTCATAAAAAAATGATCTATTTGGCATTGATGAGCTAACATAAGGTAAGAAACTTAACAAACCTGGACAGGTGTATTCCTCTACAAAGGGCTAATTCCCCCCAGAGATAGAGTCCTATCAAGTCCATTGAACAATCACACAGTAGAAAAAATGGACTAAGATCTTGCACTGGTAATTCAGGGAAAAGAAAATAAAAGCAGTTCTCAAGTATGTGAAAACTGGTTCAACCTGAGCAGGATCCAGTGCCCATGTGGTAACATGGCCCGACGTCAGACTAAAACACTGCACAACTGCAAACCAAGTGACTTCAGTAAAAGAGTCTTCACAATATCCACTTGGACTGCAAAATAGCAAACTGCTTGGTAACTTGCTGTGTTGGGAAAGAATGTGGGGAAACAGCCTCCTCCATTCTGGCAGGCATATGATGTGACGCCTCCGTGATGGGCCATATGATAGTAGGATCAACATCACAAATGTGCCCTTTCTCTTACCTAGCAGTCGTCAACTCCAGGAATTTACATGTTCAAAATGACATACGTGCAGGATTATTCATTAAAGCAACATTTTATGTAATGAGATTGGAAGTAACCTAATTGCCCATCTATCAGGAGAGCAATTATATATAAAATTGATGGCATGTCATTCAGTAAAATACTATACAGCCTTGAAAAAAGAACGAGGCAGCTTGATGTCTATACTGATAAGGAAAGTCCTCTATGATTCATTATTAACAGGAAAAAAGCAAAACACAGAAAAACAATCTAAAAGAGCAAAAAATATGTGCAAATATAAATTTACTTGTTAATATAAAATATAGATGCGTATCTATACATTTGCTTGTGTCTGCACGAATATGCAGGAACGATGACATTGGTTGTCGGGGGGCTGAGCAGCTGTCAGATATAGGTGGAGGGGAGACTTTCAATGTCATTCAAAATGAATTTTAAACTATATGAGCCAATTCAAAAAGTAAACCAGGGCCTCCCCGGTGGCGCAGCGGTTGAGCGCTGGGTTGCGAAGCTGCCCGCGGCCTCTGCGGCGCCGGTTCGATCCCCGGCTGCTCCCCGGCCTCCGGAGGAGGGTCCCACATGGCGCGCAGACCAATCCTGCCGCCCGCTGCTCCCCTCAGCAGTGTACTTTGGTCCTTCTGCCTGCTCTGCTCCCCACTCTGGCTCTGGTGAATTCTCTCACCTTCCCGCATTTCTGACTGTACCCAGTGCAAGTATAAACAAAAACAAACAAACAAATAAACAAATAAATAAAACATGCCTCTATTAAAAAAAAAATCATTAAAAAAAAAAAAAAGTAAACCAAAACTCTAACTAACAAGAAACATACTCGACCCGCTCCTCACAAGTTCACGCATCGAGCAGTAAGCACATGGGGAGCTTATATATTCTTATTTATTTCATCCGCACGCCATTGAGGATTTTGATCCCTTCCACAGCACTTGCCCCTTCCGCATCATCCACACTTGGGCAGATCCTGCCGAAAATTCTCAGTGGCCTGGGGATTTTCCTAGAACTCGCACTTGGAGCTGGGAGAGACCTCTGGCCCCAGCGAGGAGTCAGGCGCTGGCTACCGCGGGCCTGCAGGCCTCCAGTGCTTGGCTTGGCCCTCGAGTTTTAAAGCGGGAAATTCCACACAAAGTGGGCTTCCGGCATCTGTTAAAAAAAAAAAAATCAAGGGTTCTCTCACACGGAGCAGGCATTTCTTCTTGCAGACCATCTGCAGGAGCGAGGGACAGCTCAGCTTTGGGAAGGGCATGGCACTGCAGCTGGCCTCAGCCCGCCCCTCCCCATCTTGCCAAGTACCCTCATCTCAGCCCCCCAGGAGCCTGAGACCCTTATCTAGACCAACTCCCTTGCACCCCCATCTCAGCGCAGCCTCCCTGCTCCACGCCAGTGCCTCCACTGGGGAACAGAGCCACACCCCCTGGACGGCCATGCCCCTAGAGACCAGACATCTGTGGATTGAACTCTGGGTCTGCTTCTACAGCACCCCCATCTGAGGTCCCCCTGGCTTCTCCCACTAGCTCCTGGCCAGAAAGGCAGTGATGAGTGGTGATGAGGAAGGAGCAAGGGTTACAGAGTCTGATCGACCAGGTCTTTGTGCTTCCTATCCTGTGGCCTTAACCCCGCTAAGCCTCCGTGTCTTCCTCTATAAATAGGAGAGCATCTCCTACCCACTGGGTCTCTGTGATGATTAAATGGGTGTGCGGGTAGAATGCCTGGCACTTGGCTATCCAACAATCACTGGGATTATTTCCCTGGCGTTTTCACGGCTGTTTTATAAAACAGGAAAGTATACGCCTCCATGATGTGCTGGAAATCAAATGCTCAAATACGTTGCAGCTGGTTTGGGGATAAGGCGGTGGCTCAGGGAGACCCTGTGCTTACAGGCATGTTCATCTTCCGCAGCTGGTTCCCAGTAGGCAAAAGACATACTGGAAAGATCGTCCCTGTTATTTCATAGCCTTTCTATTTAAGTGACCTGCAGACGCATCTGTAAAGACCCACACTTTTCTGGTCTCTTTATAACATAACCCAATTCACCTTCAGAGACTGGAGCAGGGGTGCCAAGGGAGCCTTGGGGTCTGCAGAGGGGACACAAGGGGAGTGACTGAGACACGCTGGGCAAGGGGACCCCCACAGAGAGATGAGGAGGGGCAGATGGCAGGACATAGGGGTCTGACAGACTGCCGAGTTCAGGAGACGTGACCCAGGCCCAGTGTCCAGATCAGGAGGGAGATGCAGAAAGAAAGGGGTGGGGCAGGATCCCCCTCCCAGCCCCACAAGTCACTGTGCTCCTGAGGGTGCTGCACCCATCGGGTCACAAAGGCAGTCCTTGACTTGCCTGCCACGCCTCCCTTCACCCCCGGATGATTGCTTTCTGTAGGACAGGGTGACCCTGGCTCACGTTTACTAAGAGCTTTCCAAGAGCTCTTTCCAGGCATTTCTGTGTCGCCTCAGTTATCCTGGCACAGCCCTGGAACAGGTCCTGTTAACTCCATCTGATCCCATGAAGACTCAGCACAGGGGTGCAGGGACGAGCCCAGAGTCTCAGGCCAGCGAGTGTGGAGCCAGGGCCCTAGTCCTGCCCACCCAACCCCAGCGCCCAGCCACACCCCCCCTCGGTGGGCTGCTCACAGTGGGGTGTCCACAGAGACGTGCCAGTGTTGGCTGCACCTCGTCCCTGGTCATTCGGCGTGGTTGCTGCTGTGGCTGCCGTTGGTTCTAGTCCTGCTGGTTCCGATCCTGCTGGTTCTGTGGGCAGAGACCCTAGGGCAGCAGGCTGGCCGGGCCTCCTCTGGAGCCTGAGTGGATGCCAGCTCCCCAAGGCGATTCAGGTGAGCTGCTGCTGCCCTCCCCACCCCCGCTGGGTCCAGAAAATGAGGCAGGACTCAGCACCTCCAGGGGGGACTCTGAGGAGTTGGGGGACCCAGCAGGAGCCTGCACTGGTCTTAATATCCTGTTGAGAAAGCAGCATTTCTACAAGGAGAGCGTTGAGAAAACTCGTGACTTAAATGAATTTTTGAGTTGACATTTCACTTGTAAGATGTAAAAGTAAATGAAGATTGGAAGGAATTTCGCAAATTCTATTTGCAGAACTGATAAGGATGTCTAGAGTCTGCATCATCATTTTAAACTGATGTAAGATTAAGTCTAAGCTTTGTCCACCTTCTCCAACAGGGGGGAGAGCAGACGCCTCTCAGTGAGGAACTCAGGCCAGTCAGGCGCCTAGAAGGGCGTCTCAGTGACCACTCCGCCCACATTAGTTCTTCACCAAGCTCTGTCCACCTTCCTTTTTGAGAATCTCCACCCAGAACTGCTGAGAGCCTGCCCCTGCCCAGAAGTGCTCTCTCGTTCCATTGTCGTAACTTCTTTCTCCCCTTTCCACTTATGTTTTGATTATTGCAGATCAAGAAAAAACAAAGAAAACATGATTTACCTCCAGGTCAAGAAGCTGGACATTCCCCTCAGCTAAAAGCGAGACCGGAGCTCTGGCCTTGGCCTTCCTGGCGACATGATGCTAGAATCCTGAGCTCCTGCCATCCCAGACCCAGCAGCCTGGATCGACAGTCACACGGGCTGGCCGTGCTGCTGTGCCCGACCGACCTGCGGGCCCAGACCCCACCCTGGCTCACTGTCTACACAGCGTTCTAGGCTAGTGGATGTGGTCTGCTGGGATTTTTCTTCTCATCTTTGTAATTCTTGATTTTATTCCTTTTTCTATGATGACATCAAGCCAAACACACAGGAGAACTGTAGGCAAGGAAACAGGATAGAAAAGACCTATAATAAATAAATTTGTGAGCAGACAGCCAGTTTTCTTAGAGAAAAAACCTTGAAAGCAATACCAAGCCCATGAATATGTCAAGATGTCTCCATAGCCTGCCAGGACCCTATGTGAAGACATTTTTTAATGCATTATTATCTGGGTTCAACTTTAAGGGAAGCTAGAATTAAAGAATCAGGACACAACCCAGTTAATCTCTAGGTCTTTGACATGTAGCTGCTAAGCACACATGTGCTTTCTCAGAAGATCTTGAGGCGAGCTTGAGGGACAGCGGTGGTGAAGCTGAAATTCGTAAGCATTAATGCCTCCATTCGGTAAACATGTGTCTAAATTTTTACCAAAGTAATTTTTTTACCAAAGTAATTTTACCAGAGTAATTCACCAAACTAGTTTAGTCAACCGATTTTCAAAAGCTAAATACAAAGTCTATAATAAAGAACAAAAGCTCCTTGCCTGATCCCACCTCCCACCTACCTCCTCGGGGGTCATTCTCAACTGTTTAGCTGTTTTCCCCAAGAGTTATCTTGCTATTTCTAAATAACTTTCCTCACTTTGGTATTTCTTGACTTTTTAGTTTTAAATATTACCTGTTGACTTTTGATGGAACAGATGATTTCACCCGTCACCTCTCCCCTCATCCCAATATACAAGTCTTCTCCCTTCACTGTGTTATCACGTGTTACTCAATCAGCCGCCACCCACGCCACGGTGGTCGTGTTACTATTGGGAACAGCTGGGCCACGTGGCGCACTGGATTGGCCGCCTTTCTGTCACAGCATTGTTTTCCCTGGACCTCGGTTTTCTGCATTCACCATTAATTCACCCCCAACTCTGACAGCACAAGAAGCTCTTCTCAGTGCCGTCAAATTCATCCCAAGCTGGTTCCTGAGCCTTCTTCCTGAGACACCTCCTGTGGACCCTCCTGCTGGGGCATGGCTGCCCCCCCCCCCGCCCCAACCCGGGGGCAACTGCTGCTCTGGGCTGCCCTTCCCCACCTTCCTAAACATTCCCAGCACCTTCCCTGTGCTGGGCCGCCCATCCCGACCTCCAGTCAGCCTGCTTCGGGGTTTGCTCCCTGCGAGCATCCCAGGCAGGGGAGGGTTGTTGTTCAGGCAGCTGCAAAGAGAAACTTGGAGCCCTTAGCATCAACCCCACAGGCTCCCTGAGAGTGCACAGGGGAACAAGCCTGCAGGGAGACTTGGGGCCCTGTGCATCTCTATACACACTTCCCTCTCGTAGCCGCTCTCCACGGCTCTCCCCCACACCGTCCTCTGCCTCTCCAGGCCCCAGTGCACCCGCTCAGCAGCCACACCACACTCCAGGTGTCCACCATCAGGCCCGGTGCCCCGAGCCTGCGCTCCCCAGCACCTCCTGCATTCAAGGCTGCAGGTGATGGCCACAGAGGCCAGCGGCGCACAAACTTGAGCAGACTTCACTCACCCCACACTCCCTCGTTTTGAGCATCTCCCAACACTGTCCTGAGATAGACCCCACTGTCCTGTGGATGCTCTTCTGCAACATCAGGAGCTGAAATGTGCAAACTTCCCCTCCCAGGCCCGCACCTGCTTTCCTGCAAGGCTCTCCCAGTGCCCATACTGGCCAGCAAGAAGCTGGAAGCAGGAGGGAGCCACTGTCTTGGATCTGAAGGAGCCGCCACCCAAGCAGGGCGGAGGCCGGGTCCTGCTGGGCGGCGCTGGTTCAGTTCTGACAGCAAGCGCCTCATGCACGGCCTGCGAGAACAGTCTCTCCAGGCCCAGCCAGGATCTTCCTGGTCTCGTGGAAACGCCCTCGTCTCTCTCCCAAACCCCTTTCTCCTGCTACACTACCAACTCTTGTCCGCAAGTGTCTATTACATCACCTCTACTTGAAACAGCCGCAGTGGTCTCCTTCTGCTATTTAAACAGGAACCAATACTCGGAGCCTGGGCAGAGCACACCGGGCAGGAGGTGCCCAGATGTGGGGCTGGACGTGTGTGAGATGCTGTGACAGGGCTGACCACACGGATGGGAGGAGGGGCTGCTGATGACATTACCCAGGACCATCAGCGAAAAACAGTCACTTAAGTTGTAGCTGCAATTGCCTGAGACAAAATCCCTTAACCTCCAGGAGATCGAATTTGATCACTACAGGGGGGATGTGGCCACACAGCCGTGGGGTAGGGCACGCTGCTTCCTACTGCGCCACAGAAATTGCAAAAAAAGAAAAAGAAAAATTTTAGGGTTTTAAAATATCCAGTTGAGGCATTGCCAGAGGAGCTGAGAGCTACTTATAATGCCTGAAGGAACTCCTGGCGTCTGTGGAGGCAGATCAGTGCCACCCTCTGACCCTCTGCAGATGCCATGCGCGGTCCCTTAGACGACAGTCACACAGCGGTGGGGCGGGGGACAGGGTGGATCCTGAGAAACAGCTGGACTTAAACAAACCTGACAAACATGAATTTCTAAGTTTCCTGAAGCTTCTTGGCTAAAGGAAGCAAGCCCTCTTTTCCATTCTGGGAAAGCAGATTCTTACCTTGCTTGAACAATTTAACAACCTTCCCTCGCTTCGGTGCTGTGGTGGAGGCAAGCCCAGGGGCAGGGTCTCGATGGATCTGGGAAGACAGATAAGGGGAGTCCTGGAGCCCTCAGTGGCTTTTTCAGGATTTTAATGATCTTTCGACATCATTTGCAGTGAGGCGCCCAGGTACAGGGCAGGCTGGGCGGCCGGGGGCAGTTCCATGACAAGGTCGAAACTGGAAGAACGGCCGACACCGTGGTGTGCGAGGGCCTGTGCTCGACGGCGGGTGTGCCTCCTCACAGTCTCTCTTCATGGTCCTCCTGAGGGCCCCAAGGTGCTGGGCTCGCTCCCTCCTGGACCCAGCAGCCTCAGGGAGTGGCTGTCCGGGCAGGACCCAACACTCTTGAAGAGAAAGGAGTGTGGCCATGCAGACTCTGAGGGGGCCTGAGAGTTGCTTATGAGCTCCTGGGTAAAGCCCCTGCTGTCCCAGACGTAGTCTCCTGGTAGGAGTTCTGTGTGCTCTGTAGGGTAAATAAAAAGTATCAGGCTTTTCTGCCCTCCCACCATTAGGACTGATGATGGAGCTGTGGTCCTGAATGCATGCCTGATGGCGGCACCTGGAGTAGGATGTGGGCATATGTAGATGGGCTAAGACAGGGCTTTTAAGGGCGGTGTCACGGGGATGCCAGGAGAGCAGAGAGCAGAGAAGCAGAGGCAGAGCAGAGACCAGAGCAGAGTGAAAGAACCACGAGAGCAGCAGAGACCACCAGAGAAGGCCAGAGAGCCCAGATAGAGCGAAGGCTTGCTGGTCCTGCCAGCCTCCCGGCCCCCGGCACCCCTGCCTCCTGTGTCCCTGGTAAATCCCAATAAAAGCCTGAAAAGCCACCGAGGGCTCCAGGACTCTCTCTTCCTTACCCAGTCTGCTTGGGTCATAGAGACCCTGCCCTGTGTCATCCTGCCCCTACAGGCTCGTTCTTATATAAACCGCATTCTTGCAGCATTGCTTCTGGTTTGCAATTTTAATGTCCTCAAATAGAGCCAGAAATCAACACTCTGAATCCAAAATACCAGGTTTTTACAGTACTATTTCTTTTACACTCGACTCACCTAACTTCAGCCGACATTTTTAGTGATTCATATTTATTGAATGTCCAGGGAACATTTAATTCACATGAATTCAACTGGACCTATCATAAAAAAAATGTGAATATCGGGCCTCCCCGGTGGCACAGCGGTTGAGCGCTGGGTTGCGAAGCTGCCCGCAGCCTCTGCGCTGCCGGTTCGATCCCCGGCTGCTCCCCGGCCACCGGAGGAGGGTCCCACATGGCGCGCAGACCTCTCCTGCCGCCCGCTGCTCCCCTCAGCAGTGTCCTTCGGTCCTTCTGCCTGCTCTGCTCCCCGCTCTGGTGAATCCTCTCACCCTCCCGCGCTTCTGACTGTACCCAGTGCTTGTATAAATAAATAAATAAATATTTTAAAAAAAAGAAGTCTGAGAAATAATAAAAAAAAATGTGAATACCACATAATCCAACAACTCCACTTTTAGGTGTTAATTAGAAGATAATGAAAGCATTGACTCAAAAAAGGAGGTCCCACAAAGTTATTGCAGCTTTATTTATAATAACTGGGACATAGAAGCAAGTTAAGAGCCCCCTGATGGAGGACTGGATAAAGATGAGCTGATAAGCAAGATGATTATAAAGTAGCAGATATTATTGATCACCAAAGGGAGGCTTCTGAGGTTAAGGGGGAAGGCGAGGTGGGAAGGGTCAAAGGGACAGGTGGTGGGAGTTAAGAATGGAAAAGTATGATGTGGCTGAGAGGAAGCCCTGTGGGATGTGTGGGTGAACGGTTTCAGAATTTTTAAAAAAATTAAAAAAATACGAGTGGCATGTGTTGGACCCTAATCCAGAAGAAAACAAATAAATATTGGTTTCCACTTAAACACATAAAAATTTCTATTAACTCGATTACAATTAAAATGTAACTCATTTTTATACCCCGTTTCATCAGGTTATGTAATGTCATCAAAGTAGATTATTACGACACAAAACTCAATGATACAAAACAAGTTTGGGACCAAAGCTAACCGGGTGGTGGTCAGCCTGTAATTCACTGCCAGTGGGGTGGGGTGAGTGTGTTGTGCCAGAGCTGGGGAGGGGGCCGGTGTATGGGGTTCTCCAGAGAAACAGAACCAAGGGGAGATACACATATTTGTTTTCTACTTACAAGGTCATGGAGGCTGAGAAGCCCCAGCATCTGTGGTCTGTGAACAGAGGCTGGGATAGCCAGCGTGTGGCTCCACAGACCAAGTCTGAAGCCTGGGACCAGGGGAGGCCACGTGGGACAGGCAGCCCAGGAGCAGAAGACAGGCCCCAGCCCCACAGGCAGCCAGGCAAGGAGGTGCAGGAGCAGCTTAAGAAGAACAAAGCAGGGGCCTCCCTGGTGGTGCAAGGGGTTAAGTCTCCGCACTATGCAGCTATCCGCAGCCTCGGCAGCACGAGTTCAATCCCCAGCCAGGGAGCTACCAACACGGCACAGCAGACCTCTCCTGTCCCCCCCGCTGCTCCCCTCAGCAGTGTATTTCAGTAGCTCTGGCTGTTCTGTTCCCCGCTCTGTCTCTGGTGAATCCTCTCACCCCCCACCCCCCAATCTCTGGTCTACACCCCAGTTCTTGTATGCATAAATGAATAAATCTTTAAAAAACAAATTTGATTCTTTAGGTATGTTCCTACTACAACCAGAAACACGCTTCCAGTAAGAAAATGAATAAATGCTTAACATTTCTAAAAGAGCAGTTTTGTTTTTAAAGGACCCCTTCATCTGAAAAAAATTTGTCAAAAATAATATTTTCTGTTAACGTCTGAGTGTAGTATAAAGAAGACTTCGTCTAACCCATTTCCTTTTTAAATGTGTATTTCAGAGAGAGAGAGAGAGAGGGACGTCTGCATCTCTGCTTTCTTCTCATCTCTATTTCATATTTCAGTGTTTTCTGCTCTTTATCTCCATGTTTCTTACGTTGGGCTTATTCTGTGCCTCTTTTTCTAGTTCTCTCTTCCAACAGCCAGATGTGTGGATCATTTATCTATGCTCAGAAAAAATGTAACACATTTAGAACAAAAGGATTTGGTTTCTAATTCAATACTTCTATCAT